GGGAATGGGGCTGAGCTCTCCCTGACCCCTCTCCCATTCCCATTATCCAGAGGGTGGGCAGGTGAGGGGTCCCCCGGCCCCCCGCGATGTTGGGAATGGGGCTGAGCTCTCCCTGACCCCGGTGCCGTTCCCAGCTGGAGGAATTCCTGAACCACTCGTCGCCCTTCTCCATCTGGGTGAACGGGGAGCGCCTGGACTCGCTGCTGGAGCGGGACGAGCGGCAGGAGCGGCAGCTCGAGGACCTGGAGGAGCGCTTCGGGCTGCTGGAGGACGGCATCGACGGCCTCTTCCAGGACAGCTCCCAGCTCCACGGCCGGGCCCTGCCCTTCTTCCAGGCGCCCTTCGGGGGGTTCCGCGAGTCCTTCCGCGCCCCCCTCCCCCTGCAGCGGGTGCGGCTCCTCCCGCAGCGCCGCCGCTTTTCCCGGGATCTCCACCCGTTCCTGCCGCACCCCCCGCACCGCGGCTTCCAGCACCTCTTCCAGCCGCTCCTGGAGATGACCCAGCGCATGCTGGAGGAGGCCCAGGGGAGCTGGGAGCGCCCCTGGGGCGGGTTCGGGCCGGGTAAGGCGGGATGAGATTCCCAGAAATCCAGTCCCACCCCTCTCCCGGTGCCGGTGCCGGTGCCGGTCCCGATCCCGATCCCTCCTCCTGCTTGTTTGGGTTCGAGGGGATGAGCTCAGCCCCGCCGGGACACCCCGGGGGGTTCCCCTGGGAGTTTGGGAATGACAAAGGGGCCGCTGTTTGCGGGGCTGGGGGTTGGGGATGGTCTGGGGTGGGGTTTGGGATGGTCTGGGGTGGGGTTTGGGATGGTCTGAGGTGGGGTTTTTTGGGATATTCTGGACTGGGTTGGGATATTTAGGACTGGGGTTTGGGGGTGTTCTGGGATGGGGTTTGGGGGTGTTCTGGGCTGGGGTTTTTGGGATGTTCTGGGCTGGGGTTTGGGGATGTTTTGAGATGGGGTTTGGGGGGATGTTTTGGGCTGATTTGGGATATTTAGGGCTGGGGTTTTTGGGATGTTCTGGGATAGGTTTTTTGGGATGTTCTGGGCTGAGTTGGGATATTTAGGGTTGGGGTTTTTTTTGGATGTTCTGGGCTGGGTTGGGATATTTAGGGCTGAGGTTTTTGGAATGTTCTGGGTTGGGATTTTGGGGTGTTCTGGGCTGGGATTTTGGGATGTTCTGGGATGGGGTTTTGGGATATTCTGGGCTGGGTTGGGGTATTTAGGACTGGGGTTTTGGGATGTTCTGGGCTGGGTTGGGATATTTAGGGTTGGAATTTTTTTGGGGATGTTCTGGGCTGAGTTGGGATATTTAGGGTTGGGGGTTTTTTTGAATGTTCTGTGCTGGTTTGGGATATTTAGGGCTGAGGTTTTTGGAATGTTCTGGCCTGGGATTTTGGGGTGTTCTGGGCTGGGATTTTGGGGTGTTCTGGGCTGGGATTTTGGGGTGTTCTGGGCTGGGATTTTGGGATGTTCTGGGATGGGGTTTTGGGATATTCTGGGCTGGTTTGGGATATTTAGGGCTGGGGTTTTGGGATGTCCTGGGCTGGGTTGGAATATTTAGGGTTGGGATTTTTTGGGGGATGTTCTGGGCTGGGTTGGAATATTTAGGGCTGGGTTGGGATATTTAGGGCTGGGGTTTTTGGGATGTTCTGGCCTGGGGTTTTTGGGATGTTCTGGGCTGGGGTTTGGGGATGCTCTGGGCTGAGTTTTTTGGGATGTTCTGGGCTGGGTTTTTTTGGGATATTCCCCTCCCCTCAGCCTGGGCTGCCATCCCGGGAAGGTGTTTGTTTTGGGATCGGCGCAGCCGGCGCCGTCACCGTCTGCAAACGCCGCCCTAGGGGAGGGCTCAACATTCCATGGGAAAAGGATTTTTACGGCCCCTGGGAGGGGAGGGGGGTTGGCCGGGAATGACTCGGGAATAACCCGGGGCTGGGGGGACCCCTCCTCACCCCGAGGGGGTTTTGGGGGGGGGTTGGGATTCCCACAGAGTCCCGCAACTTCAGCAACGACCGCATGGTGTGCAAGGAGATCCGCAGGAATTCCGCCGGCTGCCTCAGGATGAGGGACGAGTGCGACAAGTGCCGGGACATCCTGGCCGTGGGTGAGCCGGGAATGCGGTGGGAATGGGGTGGGATGGGGTGGGATGGGATGGGATGGGA